AAATTAAATTATCTGTAAAATTAGCTCTCATTTCAAATTCAACCGATTTTTTCGACTCATTTTATTCATGAATTTTTTCAAACCAATTATGAATTCCTCATCAATGCTCCAAATAATTAGAGTTTAGTGCAAAACGCATGGTATTTGTGTTTCACTATATTTTGTGGCCTTTTTTTCTTGTGATATATATATCTAAACTTGTATTTTGTTGTCTTTTTTGTTTGTCTTAATGTAATTTATTTTTTAAATGTTTGTTAGTATTTGTTTCTAAATGTGTAATGTTTTTGTATTTATTTGTTATTAACTTTTTTTAGCAGTCAATAAAACAATATTTTTAACTATTTATAACAATGTGTATTTAATTGGAATAATTAAATTTGATTTATATATCTCATGATTGGAGTAAATAATACTTTGCCAAGCTTTTAATTTATTGTTTAAATAGTATATTACAATTTGCATTCACTCTCTATTTATGAATATAAATGAGTCCACAATTGACTGTATATTTTAGCAAATCACTGAAGTGCGAAAACTATCAAATCTCGTGTTTGTATTCATTTATATCTATAAAGTCACGCAGAATATGATCAGAAAATGTATAATATTTGAATTTATTTAAATTTACATTTAAACAGTTAAGAACCCCTTTAACTAATGCTACATTAGTAATGTATTTAATTTTATGATTTATGATTTTTAAATTTGTCAAAAATATAATATAACACAAAATTAACTTATGTATTAAAAATAAACTATATTTTATTATTTTAATACTGTATACCTTTTCAAAATATAGTTGAAATTATTTTAATTGCAATTATTATTTTTATAAAAGTACTGTATTAACAATTTGTTTAAAATTAAAATATATTTATGAATAATTCACATAATACTACAATTTATAAATCAGTAATATTGTTGAAAAAGTAATTTATTCTAATCTATATTTATATTTAATGTCAATTGTATAAAATAACTATCATTATTAGCTAGAATATCTTTCTTAAACAATTAAAAAATATTTAAATTACTAAATTCAAGAAATATTATTATAGCTACTTCTCAATCAGATACTGTAGTAAATACAAATTGATATCATTCTTGAATAACTTTGTATTTTATTAAAAATATTAAAAATAATTTCAAAATACAATTTTAAAAAATCATAAATTTCTAGACATTCCGTGAATAGTATGTATTGAATAATGCATTCAAACATTGCTGGGAACGTCTGAGCGATGGAAGTGAACCAACTGTTAAATGCAAAACATATTTTCATTAATTATTTCTAAAAATATAACCAGGATAAAAACTATTTAAAAATTATTAATGCAACCTGCATTAACAATTTTATTTAATAGTTATCTATTTTTTCAGCATTACCTGCCATTTACCATCTTTTTTATGCCAAACCCGAGTCTCTTCCCCTCGAGTGGTCACAACATTTCCGTTCCTATCAATAAAGCATTGAAATTAATATTTAAAGACCTTTTCGCAGATAAATCACTTATTCTTCACGTGAATCAATAGTAAATCAATAATTAATTGATGTATTTGTGTTGAAACTGATTTATATTTGATTGCATGACTTACTTATCGACAAATTGGTTCAGTCTGATGTATGCAATGACAGCGCTGTCTGTTCCCAATTTGTGTACTACTGGTGACAATAGTGAAGTCCTTTTAGGTGCCGTGTCTTTTGTCAACACTGTATGTATGGGTAAAGTTTGATAAGTTGTTGTATTTTATAGATTTTGATTGAGATATTGACAAATTTAAATTGATAATATACAGTATATTCATAGAGACATGAAAATATTTATATCATCACTAAACTTTCCGTATAGTTTAGACTATTTGAATTCCTTATACAATATTTATTATTCAGTTTAATCGTTATTTTTATATGATAATGATTTAAATAATAAGTTCAAAAATTGAAATTATATCTACGAATAAATAGTATGCTAAACCTTAAAAATGAATTTTTATTTTTATGACACCTATGATAAGAGTATCTTAAATTATAAAATAACTATTATATAAAAAATAAGTGTTATGACTAAATATAACGATATCAATAAGTTGGTAATGTACTTACAATGATCAAAATAAAACTTATGAAAGTCGACGCCAACTATGTTACCGACCGCCTCGGGTTCAAATGATGTGAGATTGGGGTCAACCATCTTAGTATAGGCGGCATAATCTGCGGCATTAATGGCCGCAATCAGGCGCTCCGTTACGCCAATGATTGTTGATTTCAAATCGCTGTCAGTACTCATTGTCTTCAGAAATTGCAGCAAAAAAAGTAAAAAAATTAATACAAAAAATTATTTTTTTTCAGCGTTTGGCTTAATTTAAACTAAAAAATAAATTCTTTCGAAATGAATGCTAAAGAAAAATATGCAAAGAATTCAAGAATAAGTGATTGCACTGAAAGTTATTATTGAATAGAGAGACAAAAATATTGGCATTTACTCAATGAAAATGGCTTTCCGTTGGATTCTTCTGTAGGCAAACACTACTGGAAATGTTGTAATTAATTATAAAATAAATGGTTTTATTGATTGAAACGAGAGTATAGTTTCCACCAATTTATAGTTAATGTAAAGATTTTCACTTTATATTGACTTTTCTTATCGCAAAAATTCAATAATACAATTCAATTCTTTATATAACACTACCAAACAGTAGCGGAGCTATTGTTCATAATATTGACTTTATATTATGTATTATGCTTTATTTTATGATAAATGGCTCATTTGATTTAAAAATGGCATTTCTCAAATGTCATCAATTTAATGCCCACCCATTCTCTCATACCTCACACATATAGTTCTCGGCACAGGTAGGTTACGTAGCCATTATTATAATTGTTACACATCTATTATACTTACTTGCAATTTTATGTCAAATGAGTGCATATCTAGTTATATTTTTAACATTATCTAAATGATCAAGTCAAATCATTTTATGACAACCCGATATAAACAAGATATTATATTATTTGCTTAATCTTTACTAATATTTTAATCTGAAACTATCTATTGTAACAAGGTTATTTTGGGATTAATTAAAAGCATGAACTTTTTGGAAATGACTTTTGCGGACAAAAGACCTGACAATATAACAAACATTCATTAAATGTTTTTATTTATATATATTTATTAATTTTCAAAATAAAAATTTATTTAAAATGTTAAGAATTTGAACATAAATGAGCAAACAGAATTGAATATTACATGCTTTTTCATTTACAATAAAAATGTAAGTATAAGTTATAAAGACAGACATCAAGTTCATTTTATACAACGTTCCTACTGTAGAGTAGTACATCATGTAACAAAAATAGTGTAAATCTTTGACACATTTTGTATATTATGTCAGGAATATTATGACAGATGATAACAAAAGTGGGAAATGTATTGATTAGGAAATCAATAAGATTTAAAGGATTATATATTTGACAGTAGAAAGTCATTAACGTTTGAATAGTTAACGATTGGTCTAACACTTATGGATGTCAATAAAAATGACATATCATTGAAATATAAACTTTTCAACACAAATAGTTATGTATACTTTACATAAAATATAACCAAATATTTGAAAAAGAATTATAAAATCAAAATATTGATTATGAATGAAAATTGAAATCAATTTGAAATTGAATGTAGATTTTGAAAAAATATTTGAAATCAATGAAATATCTTTAATGATTTAGTATTATTTAGATTTAAGTTTAGTTATGGAAATAAATAAAGAATTTAAAATTTATTGAGAACTTTATTTTGAAACCTTTTCATTATTAAACATAATTTACATTTAGTTTTAAAAGTTTAACTAAAAATGAGAAAAACATTTTTTATATCATTTGTATATCAGTTTAATTTTAATTTCAATAATATTTTAAGTGTTTTTTGTAATAAATTTGAATCAACTTTAAGATAACAAACAAAATATCAAATCAATTGTGAAGAAAATCAATGGAAACAAGATATGAAAAGTTTTGTAAAAGTCATTTGTATCGGTTTTAATTGCCACAATAAATATGTATTTAATAAAAACAAATTTCAACATAGTATAATCAAATTAATCATCAATAACAATAATGTTTACAAATAATATCCATAATTATAATATAATAATAAATATAAAAAAGTGATTTCTTGTTGTCTTTTGTATTATAATAATTATTTATCTTAAATATTCATTATATATAATAATAATTATAATTATAATATCATTTGAAGTATAATAATGTTTTTTCCATTGCTTTGCAAAAAGAGAGATATTTTAAGTGTAAAATTGCAACAATAATAATATGATAATATCATTGAAAACATTGAAAACCAATTTGTTTTACATGTTGCTTAGTATTCCTTAAGTCTTAAATATAAATTACAATTATATTTATATATATATGTTTTGAATCGACATATCAGTATCAATGGTCTTCATCAGTGAAAATCTGAAGACATAATCATTAAATGGTATGAAATAAGCAATCGTTGAGTGATTTCTCGCAGAGAATAACGAATTGTATTCATATATAAAGAGATATTCCGTTATTATCCGCACTTTTTTGTTAGGCTCTTATATGTAGTTATATATAATATATATATAAATATATATATATAGTTATATATAATATTTGATTCACTTATTAACTATTAATTGAATTCTTGATTCGTTTCCATTTTTGTTGTTCAAAATGTATTAAAGAATTGAATTATAAATGAATCGCTGAATTAAATGATAAGACTTTTTGTGTGTCTATGGAATGTTTGAATGCATTATTCAATACATACTATTCACGGAATGTCTAGAAATTTATGATTTTTTAAAATTGTATTTTGAAATTATTTTTAATATTTTTAATAAAATACAAAGTTATTCAAGAATGATATACATTTGTATTTACTACAGTATCTGATTGAGAAGTAGCTATAATTATTCTTGAATCTAATAATTTAAATATTTTCAAATTGTTTAAGAAATATATTCTAGCTAATAATGATAGTTATTTTATACAATTGACATTAAATATAAATATAGATTAGAATAAATTACTTTTTCAACAATATTACTGATTTATAAATTACAGTATTATGTGAATTATTTATAATTATATTTAAATTTTAAACAAATTGTTAATACAGTACTTTTATAAAATAATAATTGCAATTAAAATAATTTCAACTATATTTTGATAGGGTATACAGTATTAAAATAATAAAATATAGTTTATTTTAAAAAAAATAAGTTAATTTTGTATTATATTATATTTTTGACAAATTTAAAAATCATAAATCATAAAATTAAATACATTACTAATGTAACATTAGTGAAAGGGGGTTCTTAACTGTCTATAGTTAAATTTAAATAAATTCAAATATTATACATTTTCTGATCATATTCTGCGTGACTTTATAGATATAAGTGAATACAAACACGAGATTTGATAGTTTTCACACTTCAACGATTTGCTAAAATATACAGTCAATTGTGGACTCATTTATATTCATAAATAGAGAGTGAATGCAAATTGTAATATACTATTTAAACAATAAATTAAAACTTGGCAAAGTATTATTTACTCCAATCAGGAGATATATAAATCAAATTTAATTATTCCAATTAAATACACATTGTTATAAATAGTTATAAATATTTTATTGACTGCTAAAAAAGTGAATAACAAATAAATACAAAAACATTACACATTTAGAAACAAATACTAATAAACATTAAAAAAAATAAATTACATTAAGACAAACAAAAAAGACAACAAAATACAAGTTTAGATATATATATCACAAGAAAAAAAGGCCACAAAATATAGTGAATTGCATTAAACTCTAATTATTTGGAGCATTGATGAGGAATTGATAATTGGTTTGAAAAAATTCATGAATCAAATGAGTCGAAAAAATCGGTTGAATTTGAAATGAGAGCTAATTTTACTGATAATTCAATTTCGGGAAATTATCGTCGTCTCCATTCACCAAACCCACCGCCATATCCGCCTCCCATTCCTCCCATATCGCCACCCATACCACCCATATCACCGCCACCATAGCCTCCGTGTTGCTCCTGTTTCATATAGACGGGGATGTGGACGGGCACGTGGACTGGCACGTGGACGGTCTCCTTGTAGGGCACGGGTACGTGGACCTGCTCTTTGACCGGATAGGGCACCGGCACGTACTCTGTCTTCTTCTTGTGGCAGTTGTTGGATCCGCCCAACATTATCCTGAATATTAAATACGGCATTCAAATACTATTTCTATTCAATTAGTGGTCAATATTACAGATCTCTGTCCTTATTACGTCTACCGGATGACCTGATAATAGTAGGTCCAGTGCCACATTTGGTTCGTCCACCAAGCATTACCCTGTCCATTTGATTTATTTATTAAATTTCCATGGTTAAATTTACATAATTCAATGGTTAAATAACATACAGATCTCTTTCCTTATTACGTCTACTATTAGATTGTATAATAATGGGTCCGCTTTCGCCATTTTCTGCCATTCAAAGATAAAATCATATTAATGTTAGATTTAATTCACATTTTCAACGTCCATTGTTCAGACAAATCAAACGGTAAATGGTATCCAAAGTTTAGGCATAATATTATGTCACACTAACCCGTGGACTGAACGTTAAGTACAAATAAGACTACAATTGTAGACAAACTTAAGATCAATTTGGTATACATTATAGTAATCGTAAAGTTTCCAAACAATTCACTACTGTTTAAAACAATTGAAAGTAAATAAAACTCTTTGAGTTTCAATCAAATCAAGTGTTGTTCACAATTGAGAGACAGAGGACTGAATGAATGAAAACGAGAGGTGTCTCAAGAATTTAAATATGATTTTCTGGGCATACCTTTAGTCTGTGTAAACACTTTCGCCTAAATTATATATTTATTATTAATAATTACCTCAAATTACTTTTAATATTATTAATAGTAATTGTTTGACTCATTGTTTAACACAGGCCTACAAATCAGGAAGAGGTGTACGACTCGAGACATAAATGAAAAACGAAAGGTTCGGGTCATTAGAGTATATAATAAAAAAAATATATAATATTCATGTAATGCAAAGAAATAGGAGTGAGAGCGAGAGCTCAGCCTTAAAATCATTTAATTGCGAAGTGTTTTACTGACATACAGAGGCCCGGGAGGCATAAGTTTTTTTATTATTATTCATTCATTTAACACTATTTATACGATAGAGACATATATGAGACACAGTTTCTCGGGTGCTG